TACCCATCACTCTTCTCTAACAAACGGCCATGAAACCTTTGTTCATGGAACTTCCAGCGATCACCTGACACAAGCACATGATTTCTACAATAAGCCCACGTCTGTTCTTTTCCCCCTTGGCTAGAAACAATTAAGGGAGTGCTCAATCAAACACAGATTATGACACTACTAAAGATCTTATGGCTCTACTCATTTGTGACTTCATCTAGATATATGGAATCTATTTTTTTAAATTATCTTTGAAGAGAACATTAAAGTTTTAATTCTGGTTTAAAAAAAAATCATTTACAAACTCCCAGGAAAATGTTTTCCAATTCCAGGTTAAGAAACATTGTTTTATATTTTTAAAAAGGGTCTTATCATAGTATCTACAAAGACAGACATCTTATATTTGACTGTAAGTGCTCTGAATGCATTCTCTCTTTAGTCCCCAGAATAACCCTAAAAAAGCAGGTACTAAAATGATAAGTGAGGAAACCTAGTCCTGGAGAAAGAGTCCAAGTGATGGAGCAGCATTTAAGCTCTTATTCCAGCACCCCTGGCCTCTGCTCCTTCAAGACAAGTCCAAAGAGCCTTGGTCCACAGACTTGTCAGCTAGGAAGAATGGCTGTACCACCCATCAGAAACTGAACTGCAGGAGACAGACCTAAATTGAAACATGGTAAATTTAAGACAAAAGGGACTTATTCCAAGTGGGAATGGATATCCTCTTAATAGGTTACAGTTGGAGATGTTGAAGTCATAGTGAGAAATTATGTTTACAATGTATAAAAATTATTTCAAAAACAGAAGACAAACGTGCCCAGCACAGAAGAAATGGAGAAGACTGGTAAGACAAAACTACTGAATTCAGAATGACTTTATGCCATGACTAGTTTCAATAGATTTGTGTACAGGAGCTGTGAGACTGTAGGGAAGGGAACACAATGGCTGAGAAAGAGGGGCAGACTACCCATGACATCACATGGGAAGACTCATCCATGCAACAAGCATGTGAGTGCCCACTATATACCAGATACTGTCCTAGGTTCAGCCATGAACAAAAACATCCCCGTCCTCATGGAGCTGACGTTCTAGTTGGGGAGACAAAGAACAAGTAAGCAAGCATATAGTCTAGAGTTAGGTAGTAATAGTGCTCTAAGGGCTGGGGAAAAAATTAAGCAGGATATGAGAAAGAATAATGGGAGGGAGTAGATATTTGAGATAATGTCATCTGGCCATCATCAAAAGGCCAACTGAACTCTAATTAAGAGCAGGTAGCAGGGGCGCCTGGCTGGCTCAGTGGGTTAAGCCTCTGCCTTTGGCTCAGGTCATGATCTCAGGGTCCTGGGATCGAGCCCCACATCGGGCTCTCTGCTCAGCAGGGAGCCTGCTTCCCCCTCTCTCTCTGTGCCTGCCTCTGTGCCTACTTGTGATCTCTCTCTGTCAAATAAATAAATAAAATCTTTAAAAAAAAAAAAAAAGCAGGTACAAGATGAAGCTCAGTTTTATACGCTTCCTAGGCTCAACAGCATTCATTCAAAATATTTGCTGCCCATTAGACGAGGCTCTGTATTGGAGCCAGAGAGAGCACAGTAAAACACACATATGCCAAGGTATTCAACAATCCATGCACCTTGAAGGGAAAATTGATGGTGTCAGAAACACTGAGGAGGTACACAGTGGGGCGGAGGATCTTGTAGAAGACAAAACAGCTCCGCCATATCAATGACCTTTAACTTCTGAAGTGCTTTCCAGCTTGAAGCAGCCAGAGACCGTGTGTCTAACCAGCTAGACAGTTCTGAAAAAAATCACTCCCAACTTGAATGTTCTCAGACTATATTAGAAAAGGATAGATGTCAGAGCAGTGATATGCTCAAGGGAAGAGAAAGAACCAAAGGAGGAAGATTTGTATCCGACTTGGCTAAATTCATTCAACAGATAAAAGCTGTTTACTGAGCAGGACGTACTGGGTGCCAGGCTCTGTGCTCACTCCTAAGAATAAGCAAAAACACACCAGCGTCTCAAGGAGTTTAGAGACTGTCTCTGTTAACACACATGCCACAGAGATCTAGCTGGGAGGAAGTGGGAAGGAGATGGTGGATGGGAACGGGATGGTGAGACTATCACCTATCTGGGGTCAGGCTAATCTCCCAAGCCCTCCCTGCGGAAGAGCAGCACTGAGAGGCTATCACAAGGTAGACAGCCTGTTGAGGATGGGGATGCAGATTCAGCAAAAGGTTAGGTTAGGTAAGTAACCATCAAGCGAACTGCGATGCCCCCTCCACTCCACACTCACCACATCTGTCTCTGCACAAAGCTGTGACTAGCTCCTAAGAATCATACCTTCTTTAATCTCTATACCCCCACCAATGACAAATGACGAAAGGTGAATAACTGTTTGGCAGAGGCCAGGCTTAATGATGTGAGTAAAACAGGAGGGGTCAAATAACTGAGGTTTTAATGGGTTTGAGAAACTGAATATGCCAGGTTCCTCCTAGGTGTCCAAAGGTGCAAAACGGGGCGGGGGGTGGTGGGGCGGAAGGGAACGACAACTATCCACCTGGACAGCCTTGAAAAAGTCACTTCAGGTCTGAGTTTCAATTTGCAAAACAAGGAAGTTGGATCAAGTCAGAGGTTACAAACCTTTTCATCATTCTGAAGCCCGGATAGTGTGTGTATCTTTGCTGTTGGGGTAGGGGGTGCAGTGTTCCCCCTTGTCTGTGCTTCCAAATAAATTACAGAGAAGAGAACAGATAGCCAGCATGACCACCACAAGGACCTTGGGGGTCTGTCAGCAAAAAGAGGCCCCCTAGTGATGGGGCAGGTAAAGAGAAAGGGGTTGGAGGAGAGGGCAGGGACAGCAGCAAGCAGTGCTAATGAGCACTACAGATCTCAGAGGTGAAATAACAGCCCAAGGAAAGGCTGTACCTTTGAATGAAATATCTGAGCTTTCAAGGTGGTTGTTCCTGTCTGGTTTATACAAATCCAGGCACCCAGACACAATAAGTCATGAAGTAACAGGTTTTCAACAACCTAGAAACCATAAAACTAATTTCAGAGCTCTAAGAGCAATAATTACCATAAGCAAGACCACCTTTAGTCTCTGAAAAGCATGTTTATTTGCTGTATCTATAGAGTGCTATCAGACTATTTTGAGCTTCTGAGAAGTTCCCAGTTAGGATCAGTAGGGATACCTAACACTTTCAAAACCCATAATTTCCCCTTACGAAGCTGAATTCCCCAACATTACAGGAAAACCCACAAACTTTGCAGAAGAGAGTGAAAAGCCAATCCAGTCAAAGGAAATCTTCCAATTCTACTAAAACAAACAAACAAACAAAAATACCACAAGGAACACCAAAACATTTCTAGTTAAATAGCTTTTCACTCAATCTTTTAATAACTTCATTCTGACACACTTGAAAAGTATTAAATAATATAGTCTGTATTTCTGGCAATAGCAATGCCTAAAACTTATTTACAACTTAAGGCAGCAAGTGAGCTTATGACTTTCAAGTCAAATTTAAGGAAGTTAAAGGCCAGACAAAGCCATGTTTTTGGAAATGCCTGCAAAATAATAAATGCCTGGGGGAATTGGATGGCTTTTCTGCTTCTAAGCTAAATAAAGCTGGGGGGGGGGGGGGCGCTTTGCAAAGATCCCAGTGAGGATAATCTGCGTGATTACACAGAGCAAACCATCCAATTCCACATGAACCAAGGAAAAGTTAATCCAAGAATAATACCTGAAATATTAAGAAAAAGCACACTGTTCTCCTTTTTAAAACACTCCGGCAGGGCTGAAGAAGGTATCAGGTCATTTTAACAAGCCAGATCATTTGACTAGCGAGTGTTTCTGTGACAGTGCCTCGGCCTCATGATCACTAAAGGACAAGAAAGATATCTGTGTTCCAACTCCAGGCCTCGGATCCTCCCCCCGACTCCCAGCAGTCTAGTCTCCCTACTTCCTGCACACCTTTGGATTACTGCACGCCGACTTCCTGCACACCCTTGGATTTGCGATACCTTCCTCTTCGAGCTTTACTCAAGTTAAATTCCCGGCGCAAGTTCGAAGATTAAAAGTTCGCAGTCGCAGACCCTCCATTAGAGCTCAATCAGCATCTGTCCCTTAACAAGTTCGGCCTCAGCCCACTGATTAATTTACGTAAACAACTCCGAAGAGGTAACGCATCACTGCAAGGACAGAAGTCAGCAGGCTGAAGGTACCCGCTTTGGGAGAGGCAGCTGCAAGACTGGCCCGTCAGGCACGGCCTCTGCTGACATTCACAGCGGCTCCTTCCACGCAACAGGTCCACGCAGGCAGGGGCCCAGCAGCGGGCACCTGCCCACAGCTCCCAAAGCATAGCTCTCCTCCTACCCACCCCCAATTCTCGACCAGTCCCGGAGTCAAGACCGGCCAGCCAAACTACACCACTTTCAAGCACTGGCCACCAGCGATAAGGCCCAGGGCACATTCCTCGGAAGATGCCGAGACAGTGCGACTCTCCTGAGGGCTGCCCACCTCCACCGGACCTGTCGGAGCCAACGGGTAAGCGCGCCCTGGCCAGTGATCCAGTGATCTGGGAATGCAGCGCAGGGAAAACTGCCCAGGGAGCGGATGCCACGCTCTGTCCTTTCACCCGGGAACAGCCGGAGCCACCTGGCTCCTCACCTGCCCGGGTATCGGGACCAGCTGTTAGTACTTAGACGTGTATCTAAACTACTTACCAGACCAGAACGTTTCCCTAGTCGCACAAGCTCCAGTGACTACTGGGAAAATAGCAAGTCGCTCACTTTGTACAAAACGACAAGGAACTTTTAATGCAGACGGTGGGGGTGGGGAGGAGTAAGGGAGGAAGAAGCAGGTGAATACAGGTAGTGGTGGTTCTGTGGGACCTGCGGCCCGGATCTGGAGATGGGAGGAGGGCAGAGTGGGGAGGAGAGGGAAAGAGGGGGAGAGGGCTGGCCAGGCTCGTCGGTGTTCTCCCGAAGACTGCGCGCAGGTGAGACCGGACACTCACCTCTGGCAGCTCGCGGAGCTGGTTGGCGTCCAGCAGCAGCTCCTCCAGGCTGCGGGCGTAGCGGTAGATCTCCTCGGGGACATAGACCAGCGAGCAGTGGCGCCTGTCGATGGTCTCCACATGACGGTTGCACCGCCACAGGGGGATGCAGTGAAACATCGCCGCCCCCGCCGCCGGGTCCCGAGCCGAGTCGCGGAGACTCGGGCTCTGAGCCCGCTCCGTCCCGCGGCTCCGCTCCGCCCGCTGTCCACTCCGCACTCGTTGGCTCCCGTGCTCGCTAGCTCCTCGCGCCGGGGTTCACGGTCCCAAACACTCCCAGGAACCTCGGGCGGGAGCCCCAGCCGCGTCCCAGCGCCCCCGCCCGCCAGCGGGTGCGTCTCCTCCCACCCTCCCGTCGCGCCGCCGCTGCCGCTACTGCCTCGCGGAGCTTCCTACTCGCGGCTGCCGCGCGACTGAGCATGCGCGCCAGTGGGCGCGCGCGAGGGCGTTTCCCGGCCCGGGGGATGCTCCGCTCCGGGTTTTCCTGGAGACCCGGAGCCAGAGAGGGTCGAAACCTGTGGGCCGGGTGCACGGTGTCCCCCTACTCGGGCTGGGACTCGAGGAGCGCCGGGCCCTCCGAGGAAGCCCGACTCCAGTGGAGCTTGAGATAAAGATGAAGCAGAGGAGAGATGGCGTGAGGGGAGCAGAACAACTTTGATTTTTAGTTACTTAACTCGCTCTCGGCTCCTCGCTCCCCTTCCCCAAAACAACTTTCTCTTCCGGGGTCAGGCAGGACCGCCCCCGAAGCGTACCTTGCGCGTCCTGGGCGCCCGAAGCTACGAGATTCGGTGTGGTTTTGAGGTGTCCTGGCCACCAGCGGCCTCAGAAGTGAGCCGGCTACCCTCAGCCCCGCACCGCGTCGGGGCCCATACCGTGCCCTCTGGTCCGCGGGCACCGCCTGCAGGCTGTGTAACCTGGGCGCACCTCTTCAGGAATCATTGTTTATACACTGAGTCAGAGGAAGTCCCTCTCCCCATACCATCAAAAGCATAGGAGTTAGAATCTGTAAGATTCTCATTGGCGTGGATGCACCCCATCAGGAGTCCAAATGCAAAAACGAGGTCGCAAAGGTGAGTTCCTGCGCCTGTTCTAACCTGGCCAGATGTTGACTGGCCCCCGGCAACTATTTTGGGCTAGTAAGGAGGGAGGAGTGAGGGGAGGTGGGGCAGATTAGCTGGGGGCAGGTGGGCATCCTCCAACCAGATCCTGCGTTTCAGCACCAACACCCAGGGTTTTGCAAAGATAGATGGTAGCCCAAGAAGGAGTAGCTGGGGAGGACTCAGGAGGCTCACTACTGGATAATAAGCGACCATTTATTCCGTTGCCCCTGATTCATTCCCACAGACGAGGACCAGAACCCAGAACACCTCTTCTTCCTATCTCCAGAAAACCAACTGGCTCCTTTACAAAGGGCTGTCGACCAGATCAAAGTCAGTCACGTCAATGGATTGTCTTTTGGGTCCTACTCTGACTCCCCTCCTAGCTGCCCCCAGTCCTCACACCTTTCCCTTCAGGATCCTGCCTGTGACCTCTGCCAGACACAACGGGGCTCTCCCGCCCCCAAGTTGCCACAGCTAAAAGCTGGGGTCATCCAATCCACTTTTCTGCAGAAGACTGAAAGCTGAGCATAATCAGTGACCAAGGGAATTTTTGGTCTAGTTTATACAGGGTGTACATGTCTACATAGACTTCCAGTTCCAGCTGCGTGCAGGACAGTTTCCCATGGGGTTAGCAAGGAGGAGGACACTTCATTTCAACTCTAGGAGGAGGACTCCTTTCTTCCCAATCAGTGAGGATGGATCTGAGTACCACTTTGTTTTTGAGCCCAGAATTATCATCTTAACTTTCTAATTCTGGACAATCCCTGAAGTCCATTGCCAAACCCACTCCACTCTCTTTTTTGTTTGTCCTGGTGTGATTTCTACATTCTCAGGGAAGGAAGGCCACCTCAACTTTGGACCTTAGCTACTTCTTCCATCATTCTCACATTCCAGAAACCCATTTTATGCCACTGTTAGTGGGAAGCTGTGGTTCCTGACTAAGAGACTGAGTCTGGAATGTAAGCAAGTCATAGACTTGTCTTCGCAAGTTTTCTAACTACTTTAAACAACAGCAAAAATAAGAAAGGTCTGGTTCCTTCATTCTAATATTCTTTGACTTCCAGAGATTACCACACTAGATTATTTTAATAAACACCAAATATGTTTTAAAGATATGGCTGGTCTCTTAAAAAATTGAAACCTCAATTAGTATTCCCCATGTGTCTCTCTGTGACACGTACACTTGGTTTATGATTATTTTTGTATCACCTTAATCCCAAGGAGATTGTGACCTCTTGGAAAACAAGTACTGTCTCACTCATAGATCTCTCTAGCGACCACAGTGCCACATGCACATTAAATAATTGGCAAATTTCTGTTAACTGTGTGAAATCAGGGCCAGAATTCTTGACTTCCTTTGTTGCCAAGGATCTACTTAGAATTTGTCTTTTTTTTCCATCTTTTTTTTTTTAAACCCACTGACCATAACACAGCTAATCTGCTTTGAAATTCTCCAGCTTTGGGGCTCTCAGAAGATGCTATTGTTAGGCCTGCCTCTTGGTGTGTTTTTGTTTTTGATTAAGAGAATTTTTTTTTCATTTCATTTTATTTTTTTTTTCATCCTGATAAGTGTACTCTTTAATCCTCATCCCCTAATTCTCCCATCCCCACCCCCACCCATCTCCCCTCTGGTAACCATCAGTTTGTTCTCTATAGATAACAGTCTGTTCCTTGATTTTACTCTCCCCACTCGTTTGTTTTGTTTGTTAAATTCCACAGATGATTGAAATCATCTGGTGTTTGTCTTTCTCTGGCTTATTTCACATGACATTATACTGTCTAGCTCTATCCACTGCAAGATTTCTTCTTTTTTTATGACTGAATAATATTCCATGGTATGTATATATGTATACGTGTATATATACACATATGTACATGTATATATACATACATGTATGTATACGTGCATATATGTATATGTGCACATACGTACATACATACATATGTACATATATGTGTGTATCTTCTGTATCCATTCATCTATCAATGGACATTTGTGCTGCTTTCATAGTTTGGGTATTGTAAATAATACTGCAGTAAACATAGGAGTACATGTATCCCTTTGAAGTAATGCTTTTGTATTTTGGGGGTAAATACCCAGTAGCACAATTCTTGGATCATAGGGTAGTTATATTTTTAACTTCTTGAGGAATCTCCCTACTGTTTTTCACAGTGGCTACACCAGTTTGCATTTCTACTAACAGTGCGAGAATCTTCCTTTTTCTCCACATCCCTAACCAACACTTGTTTCTTTTTTTTTTTTTATTTTAGCCACCCTGACAGGTGTGGGGTGATACCTCCTTGTAGTTTTGATTTGCATGTCCCTGATGGTAAGTGATGAACTTCTTTTTATGTTCTGTTGGCCATCTGTATGTCTTCTTTGGAGAAATGTCTGTTCATGTCTTCTGCCCATTTTTTAATTGGATTATTTTTTGGGTGTTGAATTGTATCAGTTCTTTACATATTTTGGATACCAACCCTTTACTGGATATCTCATTTGCAAATATCCCATTCCAAAAGTTGCCTTTTAGTGTTATTGATTGTTTCCTTTGCTGTCCAGAAGGTTTCTATTTTGATGAAGTCCTAATAGTTTATTTTTGCTTTTGCTTCCCTTGCCTTAGGATACATGTCTAGAAAAATGTTGCTGCAGGTGATGTCGGAGAGATTACTGCCTGTGTTCTCTTCAAGGATTTTTATGGTCACCAGTCTCACATTTAGGTCTTTAATCCATATTTATTTTTGTGAATGGTGAAAGTGGTCCAGTTTCATCCTTTTGCAACTGGGTGACCAGTTTTCCCAAGACCATTTGTTGAAGAGACTTTTTTTTCCCATTGTATATTCATTCCCCCTTTGTTGAAGAGTAACTGATCATGTGATTATGGATTTATTTCTGGGCTCTCTATTCTATTCTGCTGATCTATGTATTTATTTTTGTGCTAGTACCATACTGTTTTAATTACTACTGCTTTGTAATGTAACTTGAAATCTGGAATTGTGGTACCTCCAGCCTTGTTTTTCTTTCTCAACATTGCTTTGGCTCTTCAAGGTCTTTTGTGGTTCCATACAAATTTTAGGATTGTTTGCTCTAGTTCTGTAAAAAATGTTGTTGGTATTTTGATAAGGATTGCATTAAATTTTTAGATTGCTTTGGGTAATATAGACATTTTAACAATATTTGTTCTTCCAATCCGTGAGCATGGAATGTTCTTCCATTCTTTGTATTGTCATCAATGTTTTATAGTTTTCAGAGTATAGGTTTTTTACCCCTTTCATTAAGTTTATTCCTAGATATTTTATTGTTTTCAGAGCAATTGTAAGTGGTATTGTTTTCTTAATTTCACTTTTTTTTTTTTTTTCAAGTAGGCTCTATGCCCAGCATGGAGCCCAACATAAGGCTTGAACTCACAACTCCAAGATCAAGACCTGAGCTGAGATCAAGAGTTAGATGTGGGGGTCCCTGGCTCAGTCAGTTAAGCATCTGCCTTTGGCTCAGGTCCTGATCCCGAAGTACAGAGATTGAGCCCTGCATCAAGCCCCACATCAAGCCCCACACTGGGCTCTGTGCTTAGTGGGGAGTCTGCTCCTCCCCCACTCATGTTCTCTCTTACTCACTCTCTGAAATAAATAAATAAAATCTTTAAAAAAAAAAAAAAAGAAGAGGAGGAGTTAGATGCATAACTGACTGAGCCCTCCATGCACCCCTCTTAATTTCACTTTCTGCTGCTTCATTATTATTGTGTAGGAATGCAGCAGATTTCTGTAGGTTGATTTTATATCTTATGACTTTACTGAATTCATTTATCATTTCTGATAGGTTTTGGTGGAATCTTTAGGGTTTACTACATACAGTACTGCCTAGAATTTGAAACATCAATCTGGTAAGAAAAAAATGAAAATAAGGGAACCAATTCTTTATGCTGAAGAGTTTTAGGCTTTTCTTATTGATATAATTTCTAGCATTGTTCCCCATATACAAATGTCTTGATTGTATTGATGGTTGCATGTGTGTATACATTTAGCTCATCAAACTATACTTTTTTTTTAAAAGATTTTATTTATTTATTTGACAGACAGAGATCACAATTAAGAAGAGAGGCAGGCAGAGAGAGAGGAAGGGAAGCAGCCTCTCTGCTGATGTGGGGCTTGATCCCAGGACCCTGGGATCATGACCTGAGCCGAAGGCAGAGGCTTTAACCCACTGAACCACCCAGGCGCCCCCAAACTATACTTTTAAAATGGGAACTTTTTATTATATAAAATTATTCATTA